CATCTACAACAGGTAAGATATTCACTGTTTTTTACCACCTGAGGTCAAAGGTCATCTACAACAGGTAAGATATTCACTGTTTTTTACCACCTGAGGTCAAAGGTCATCTACAGCAGGTAAGATATTCACTGTTTTTTACCACCTTCATCAGTTTTATTGTTTATAAACCTTCAGTTGTTATTTCTGCTTTTTTAACTTTATTCCAAACATCTAAGATGTTCTGAACCACAACATCTGTTTCAGACAATGTAAACAAACAAACAAACACACAAACAGCTGGTTACCTTCAGCTGGTGCCACTCTGACCCGGACCGACACCACAGGCCCGACCTCGGCCTCAGACCCAGACTCAGACCCGGACCCGGACCCGGTCCGGTCCGTGAGGACTCCTCCCTGTGCATCCAGAAGTGAGACRGTCAGCTGCAGACCCCAGCTGCTGGACTCACACTCCAACTCCAGCTGGTTGGTTCTGGACCGGTGGACCTTCAGGCTGGGCTCAGACAGCTGGACTGCACACACAACAACAACAACAACAACAACACAACAATTATAACAACAACAACAATTATAACAGCAATGACAAACACTTTATTTTGAAAAGCAGCAGAATCAGATCTGAAGCTTTCAGAGGATTTTAACCTGAACTGATCTGAGTCAGTTTTTACAAAAATAAAGTTTAATTTGATAAAGTTTTATTTTTACTGAATCCTCAGAGTGAAACATGTTCTCCATCACAGCTGCAGGGCATTCTGGGTAATCTGTGCTCTGGTCCACAAGTTCTTTAACCTAAGTTGTACCGTGACCTTTGACCTGCTGGCTGAGGCCTGTACAGCTCACTGCACAGTCTGACCTTCAGGGTGAGTCCTGCAGAGCTCACTACACAGTCTGACCTTCAGGGTGAGTCCTGCAGAGCTCACTACACAGTCTGACCTTCAGGGTGACAGGTGTAAACCTGGTCAGTCAGGTTGTCCTCACCTACAACCAGAGCCACGTTAGCCTCCACTCGTCTGGAACCAGTTCCCATTTGAAAGACACACCTGGATCAGGACCAGAGACCAGAACCTGTGTGAGTTCTTTCCCGGGTCACAGAAGACCTCAAACAGAACCAGAACCAGAACCTGGACTCACCTGTAGTCTCCGGTGTCGCTCAGCTGGACGTCCTGCAGCGTCAGAGAGCCGTCGTCCTTCAGGGACGTCCGGTCCCTGTAGGTCTCTGCCTGGTCCTTGGTCTTCTTCTTCCCGTCCACCAGGACGTACAGAGTCGGTTCTGACCCGCTCAGGCCCAGCCACTCCAGCAGAACCACACGAGTCAGCGGCACCGGCTCCATGATGGCACCGCACGGCAGCACGGCATCGCTGTGGACCGCCACGTAGACCCTGGGGGTCCTCAGGGGCCGGCCTGCAGGAGAACATGGAGGAGTCCATGAGACCAGGACCACAGAGACCAGGACCACACAGACCAGGACCACAGAGACCAGGACCACCTGAGACACACTGTGGGAGCAGGTCTGAACAGATTAGAGCAGATTATGAAGATAAGATGACTGAACTTCTGGATCATCTCACCTCCACAGACTGTAAGACTTTATAAATTAACCCTCTGCAGTTCGACCAGGAGACAGGAAGTAACAGGAAGTGACAGGAAGTGACAGGAAGTAACAGGAAGTGACAGGAAGTAACAGGAAGTGACAGGAAGTGAGAGGAAGTAACAGGAAGT